GCAGGGGTCTGCATCAGCTCTAGTGTTCTGCCTTTGTTCCGTACGGTGCTGTTCTGCTCTTGGCGGGTGGTTTTCCTGTGGATTCCGTGGCATTTCTTATTGTTTGTTTACTATGTGGGGAGAACAAGTGGCGCTGTGTCACGTCACCGAGATGAACCCCAGTGCGGGACCCGAGTGTGGCGATCCCATCCTCACATCATTCAAGGTCACCGTTTTCACCGATTTGTTTGGGTTTATTTTGGAGGGGGGGGGGACGTATCCACCATCCACAGGTCCTCTTTGCTATAGTGGCACGAGCGATGTCGTTTTTCTTGCGACAGCCTCTCCGCTTGGGCGACAGTAGTCCGCTTCAGGCCGGCAGTACCGCCCGGCACAGCCCCGAGGGGGAACCAGAGAGGAGTGAAGCCCGGGAGCCTGCCCTCTGTCCTACAGCAGGGCTTCTCCGGGAGGAACTGGGCTCGATTTTCGCTTGTTTGCTGGCGCCTGCAGTGAGGGAGATGGCTGTGGCCAGGGTGGCTTTTTGTTTGTTGGAGAAGGCGAGACGGCGGCTGCATTGTGGCTGCCTGAATTACCCCTTGAAAGTCGCAAATTAAACTCTCTCGTTCTGATTTTTTTGCTTGAATGAGTTAGGCGTTTCAGAGCAATTTGCAAGCTATTGTGCGGTTATACCCTTTTACCTGGGTAATATCGCTCATGCCTTTCTCAGACAGAGAAAGCTATTGCATGCTTTTGCGATTTCGTGAGTAGACCACTGCAGCTCCTTGCTGGCTGGAGTTTCTGGGTCTGTCCTTCGCAAGTTGCCTTGTGTAGAGACTTCTGCAATCTGAATCACAACCAAAACAACACCCTGCGAACCTTTACCCCTGTGTTAGCGTCTCTGCATTGGCTTCCAGTGGAATTCCAGAGTCGGATTCAAAATTCTGTTTTTTAGCTCTTTTGTTTCTGAATGGTTTAGCGTTTTTTTGTGTCCATCTCTCTCCTTGTATTTCATCACACAGGCATTGTTCCCTTGGCCCGGGTTTGCTGTGCATGCTGCAAACAAATGGGCACATTTCAGAGACCATGCTTTTCTTTGACTCACGCCTAGTTAGTGGAACAGCCTTCTGAAGAACAAAATGGACAACAGCACTGCTGGCACTTTAAAATCATAACCAAAACTTTTGTTCCTTGGGTTTTATTATTTGATTTTGTTTTATTGCCGTTAGTATAGATCAGACATCTATTGCATTTATGTCCTGTATTTTGACCCTGCTTTGTCAGTCTCTTTTTGTTTGATAGTTTTTTTCCTTTTTTATGCGAAACTCTGTTCCGTGTTGTACAGTGAGTTGTATGCTTGTTGTGCAAAACTTTTAACTTTCTCGGTGTGTAGAGAGGTAAAACTAACACATCAATTCGTCAGATTTGATTGGTAAATGTGACGAGTTGGCTATTGCACCTGTGATCCCATTTTTGAAGATTCTCATCAATTCAAGGTAAGCGCTGGTCACAAATGGTGAATGGCTTTTATTCTTTTATTCTAGCTTGTGTTCATTGGTTTTAACCTAACCCATGATTATCACAGTATATTTGATTAAAGGCTTATTTCTCTGCATATTTACCAAGCAGTTATATTTAGGTACAAAATAGTTTACGTCTGAGTAAGTTAATGTTATTGCTTATGTTTTGGGTGGTGCCTTAGTTGGCATTGCTGTCTTGTACTCCTGGGGCAATGGGTTAAATTCCTGGGGTGCATTCTGTGTGCAGTTTATATGTTCATGTGCGTTCTCCCTCTGGGTGCTCTGCTGTCCACCAATAATCCAGTAAGCATACTGGGTGGTTAATAAGCTTCTGGGGAAAATTGGCCCTGGTGTGAGTGTGTTCCCTGCAATGTTCTGGCAGCACGTCCACAGTGTATCCCGCCTTATACCCATTGCTTACCGGCTCTTCTTCTCCCCCTGTACCAGATAAAGCGGATGGAAAATGGATGGATGCTTAATTATTTTCAGCCTTCGGGTGACTGTGTGAGGAACTTACAGAATTGAGTTTGTGACGTTGCTGTTGTAATTGTAAACTGCTTGAGAACTAGGAAGGCGGGGGGGGTCAGTTCCATGCCTCTTCAGTGTCGCTGTGCAGGAACGGCTGCTCAGCTGATCCTCCAGGTCATGGATGAGATTTGGTTATTGCAGGCGGTTGAGTGGATCTGGCTCGGTCATGAGTGCTTCCTGTCAGTAGGTGGCGCTGCTGGAGTCCAGTGGGAGGTGGATGGATCTTGCTTGCCCGAGTGACTTCATGTAGTGAGGCTGTGCCAGCAAGCTTCCCAGTGCATATTCCCTCTCGGTCTCTGTGCTGGGACATTGTTGCACTCCCCCGATACCTACATGCCTTTTATACATGTGCTGACCTTTTCTTTGTGGACACAAATCCAGGTATTGCTTACCATCCAGGTCCAGGCCTCGTGGCGCCAGAGCCCTGGGTTCAGCTATCTGCTTGCTTTTTCATGTGCTCCCCATGTTTGTCTGCGTTTCCTCTGGGTGCTCTGGTTTCCTCCCACAGTCCAAACGATCTGGTGGAAGTTTAATGGGCTTTTGGGAAAAATTGGCCCTGGTGTGATTGTGTACGTGTCAGTGTCTGTCTGCCCTGTGGTGGACTTGCGTCCTGTCCAGAGTGTACCTTGCCTTGCGCCTGTTGCTTGCTGGGATATGCTCTGGGTCCCCTGCAACCCTGATTTTGAAGAAGAGGTTAGAAAATGTCTGGAAGGATACTTGGAAGGCAAGGAATAATGCAAAGAGCAGACATGAGCACTAATATCATGCATATCGTGATTTCTCATAGTGCCATGTTGTTGCAGCCTTGTGTTGCACAGAAAATAAAGGGTGAAAAAACATGCTGCATGTAGGTTGATTGAGTACAGTATATGTCTTCAGGACTGTGTACATAACTACACAAGTTCATGGGGTTTAGCCTGACTTGAACATTACATTGAGATTACAGTTTTTTTTTGTAGAGTGAATTATCCCACTGTGCACCATTCATGATTTAATTTAGGTTTGAGTGTGGAGCTGGGTCAGCATGTGGGCTGCAAAGGAACAAGTAGAGGTTCATGCTGAACGGTAGCAAGGGAGAAACTTTCACAGCAAGGAAAACCAATGTTTCAGCTGTCGAGCCTTTTTCAGATCTGCCAACAATTGCCTTCACGGCTGAAACGTCGTTTTTTCTTCCTGGCAATTTGTCTAACCTGTTTCTTATCCGATTTTTCTGCACTGACCCTGGCTTGTTGCCTCACCTGTACATTTTTCATATTGCCTGGAAATGTTCATGTATTTTTCTGCTCTCTCATCGAGCAGCTCATTTGGTCTTTTCCTTGCTGCTGTTGTAGCTGAAGTGCAAAAGGAGTCATTGAAAGAAGCCATCTTGTCAGTTGTGCATTTCTTATAGGCACCCAACCTTCTCAAATGTGTCATTGTTAAAATATCGGAGCTACTAATCCATTTGTATTTCTATGTGCAGTATTAATATGCTGTATGCCGGGATAGCCTGGAGCACCACTGACCTGTTGCAGGGCAGAAATCTGGACGTCTAACAGAGGAAGCACATGATGAATTGCAGGAAAATGGCAGCTGATAGACTTTATGATTGAATAAACCATGTGCACCCACTGCTTTAGGTTTTGAATCTTTCTCTTTGGAGTGCATTATTACAAATGTTGCTTTGTGTCTACGAGATAAGCAGTGGGATTCAAAACGCGTGATCTGATTGTTTAAAGAAAGCCTGTTAGCTTCTGAGTGGCTCTAATGGCCCGAAATGAAGTGGTTGGTTACTCTTGCACAGTGACTGTGTTTGGTCTTAATGAGTAACTTTAATGAATTGCAGTATGTGGAAAGCCTGCAGAGCTGCTACATGAATTTACGATCCTACAGCATTTCTGACTGGGCTTGCATCCTTCTTATCTGATTATAAGGTTATTCAATCATTCATTAATTGCAATCAGACACCTAAATATTGGAACGGCAAATAAATAGACACACTCGGGAATGGGGAAGAGTTGGATGGAGCAGCATGAAACCTGTCTTCCCTGGCCAGAGCACGTCTCTGGGCTCAGTCCTGATGGAAGCGGCAGGACTTGCCATTGCGTTATTGTTTGGTTGGAGAATGGGAGAGGGTTGAAATAGGTTAGTAATATTTCAGAACCTGGTGATATACCATGTAATGCACTGTGAATGATGTGATTTCCTGTTTGCTGAGGCTTTGCACTTGATTTATTGGTGGGATTTGATATTTTGGCCGGTGAGTGTGATGTTGCAGGTTAATAACGTGTATTCGTGATTTCCTTTCTGTGTAAGCGCTAGGTACAGAAAGTCCAAATTGTTTGATTAAAGATGGGAGTAATTGGGCATCCTGAGGACTCTCAGTGCCTGAGAGCACTGTGATCCAGTTGTCACAGGTTCGAGCCTGGGCTATGTCCCTATGTCTCAACAGGGACCAGGGCGCCTCAGGTGGTGGGGTAAAATTTCCTGATCACTGCCAAGGCTAGATTCAATGTCGCAGACTTGATCAGAGTTGGCTTGCAGACCTGCAGTGCAGTCAGTGAGAGACACCCCTCTCCTCCAGTACAGGGCTGTGCTGCCTGTGATGTGTTAAGAGACAGGTGGCTTGAGGCAGGTGGGTTGGAGGTGCCCCTTCTGCACTTCTTAATTCACTCCTGTGTGCAGATGCAGGGTTTATAGCTGCTTGCTGAGATGTGAAAGAAACATAATTGGCAATTGCATAGCTGTTGTGAGCACACCCAGGGTGTGTGCAGTGTGAACGCGCCTCTCTGTCGAGATCTCTGCCTCCACGCCGCGCACGCCCCTTGTGTCCTCACAGTGGGAATAATAAAAATAATGGGCAGATCTGTGTTTTGGAAGAAGACATTCGTTGCCAAGCCTTGATCAGGTAGATAGATTCTCCAGCCTGTGCCAAGAATATCGCGCGAACTTTGAAGTTTGGCGATCGCTTGATGTTTGCCCTCCTGTCTCCTGCAGGTACTGTTTGATGAGCGTGAAAGGGTGTTACACCGATTTCCATATCGATTTTGGAGGCACGTCCGTGTGGTACCACGTTCACCGAGGAGGGAAGGTAAGTAGCAAAGCACAGGAGTGATAGGCAGTTTCGTTTCGAGATTCCAGCTTCCCCAGAGTCCATCTGTCCCTTAACAACATTCTGCATCCCGACAGGCCTTGGATAACCTTGATGCTTACCTGGAAGTAAGCAACACAGATTTGTTTGTGCAGTGCATAAAAGAGACATCAGTTAACCGTGCCAGGCATTTGCATGGTGGATCTAACTATGCAGAAGGCTTTCCAGTCCCTGTGTCATGCACTGGGCCCGGGAACTGTGAGGCGGTAGTGCAGACAAAGGTATTACCACGCTGCTGACAATATAGAAGTCAGTATTGGGATTGTCAGAAGCCGTTAGCTATAAGCCTGCACCTCACGCTAACCTTCATGACAACCGGACCAGAGCCCAGCCACGCAGCAACAAAGAGCTGGAGACCTTGCCAGCAGATTATGCAACGCCAAGTCCTGCCTGCCAGTCCCCCACCTCAGGAAACCAAACCCTGGCACTGTTGCACTGCTGGCGGTGAGCGTCTGTATCAGGAGGGCTAGGATGAAAGGGGCGATCTTGAACGAGAGCAGTGCTTTCCAGCGTGAATGAATGTAAGACTGCACTGAAGTCAAGTCTGGCTGTGCTGGACCACAGCTGCAAATAAGTGAAGGAGACCAATTTTTATATATATTTTTTTTATTTTAGCTGTTAGCTAGGCTGCACAGTGCTAACAATATTGTGTTAATTTTGTTCTTCTAGTACAGTGTGGTGTTTCATAGCTTTGAATTATGAAATGGAACTTTGCATATATTTTATATCAGTTATCAGGTCATATTTACAAGCGCCCTGGCATGGAGGGAGACTACAGCAGCTGCCATATCTAAGGCTTGTTAAGGTGATAGCCAATCCACTCTTACCTAACAGGCCCATGCTGGTGTGGCTGTTAACAGGTGTTTTTTTTTTTTATCCCTTTCAAGACTCTTTTGCTTTAATGACTGGATGCACCTGGGCGGTGCCTCACATAATCACATTCTGCGTTAGCAGATCGTGCCACAGAGATTTATTTGTGGGGGGGGGGGGGGGGTTTCGAAACAAAGTATAGTCATTGGTTTTTAAAAGTTTGCTTTTGTTTTCATGCCGGCCCAAATTTGGAATCGCCAACTGGTTCTTTGCCACTGAGTGACTGCTGCTCTGCGCAGGGGAGGATGGGGATGAGCAGACATGCTCCTCTGAATCTCGGCCAATCACCTTTGACACTGCCGGCTCCACAGCACCCGTAGGAGGGTCTGCGCTGGCTGGAGGAGGAGTGCGTCTCACACTGACGTCCCCGCAGACCTCGAGGCACCTGGGAAGTCACAAGTGTGGCCATTTCCCACAGAGAGAATAACCCTGGCCTTACTCCAGCGATTTGTGCACCTTCACTTTGAGAGTACCGGTCACAGTCTGTTAAAAATGAAATCATTTAAGAAAAGTAAAGCATTTACAGTTAACAACTAATCCGTGACGAATAGCCAGTTCACAGTGTAAACCTGAGAGGCAGACAGCCGCTTGGCTTTTTTCTCGTGACCAGGTGGAGCTTCTCATAGTGCTTTCAGTCCAGCAGGTCACTGGTCTTGTGTGCCAATCCATACTTTCCTATTTCTTTGCTGGTTCCACTCCATCTTGATCACAGTTTGTTCCCCAGCTTGGCTGGCAGCACCCGTAAGGCTGTTCTGTTTCTGTTTCATATATGCGGTTTTGGTGCTTCCTGTCAAAAATGTCTGTTTTTTTTTTTACTGCAGGATCAAAAGTGAGTTGGCAGTAAATCCTTATTAAGTTTTGAAATGAATCACTTTGGAAAAGCTGCGACTGACAGAGGCTGCAAATTAAGAAGTGACTAATTTGCAGTTTGGAAAAACAGGTTTATAACGTGTGATGGTTAGGGCTGCTGCCTTTGCAGCTGGGTTTAGTTCTGGACTGTAACACAGTCTATGGGGAGTTTGCATGTTCTCCCATGAGTATATGCACATTTTTCCTGGGTGCTCTGCTGTGTCCTCAGACCTTTCTAAACCATGCTGCCTAAGCAAATGATTGTCTGAATTGCCCCTGTATTCATGTTCAATATTTGTTTATTGGATTTTCAGAGAAGACAAAAGAATATTACATGATTCTACATACAATAACAAACTAAATGTGAACAATCGTCATTGTAAGGCAGAGTTGGTATCTAAACAAACAGTTTAAATCCAATATTAATATTTAAAAGGTAAAGAGGAGAAAAAAAAGGAAGCCAGAAGTGTGAAAGAGAAAACCAGAGGGAAAACAGTCAAAGGACAGAGCAGGGAAGCCACAGTCTTCAAGGTCTTTCAGGCCTCTGGGTCAAATTGCAGGCTCTTAAAGACATTTCAGAAAAGCTGCCAGGCAGAATTAAATTTTACAGCTGAGTCATGGAGAGAGTAGGTGGAGAAAGTGTGGGCACCACAGGTGGTTTCCAGTGTTGTTGTTGTCCCTGTGTGTTTGAGTGTGCGCACGTACCCTGAGACACCCTGGCACCCCCTTCAGGATGTAGCCCTGCCCTGCGCTCTGTGCTTCTGGGATCGCCTGTGGTTTGATCCACTTTGCTGTTTGTTGTCTCAGAAATAAGTACAGGAGGACGGACAGTGGGAAGCATCCCCTTTCTTTCTAATGAAAAGTCCAAAAAATAAAAACTACAAATAATATCTGGAAAAAGTAAATATCTATAAGGTTAGAGAAATAAACATGTAAATGGAAATTGCACAGTGCTTGTTCTCTTCTCAGTTTTACAATTTCTCAGGAGAAAGTAGATAATATGGCTGTCGTGAGCACTCTTCAGGTGAGGGATACTCGCACGTTACTAAAGGAGGGATCAGAGAAAAAAATGTGCAGCATCCTTCACACCTCCAGTCATTCTGTCTGTACCCCAGCAGATACTTCAAAACCTTTGGTCTGTACCACGCATATAGATTTTTGTTCTTACAACATCAATGACAGATTTCCTTTTCATCTTATCAGTGCATTGTGTGCGAAACAGATATTTCGGGCTTTATCTCCAGAAATCACTGCTTAGCCAAGTCTTACTTCTGTAAGCGGATGTTGAAAGATGATTGACCCCTGAGCCCTTTCCGTACTATCAGCACTATGGCTTGAGATGAACAGGAGGTAGCTGGCTCCTCCGGGGGAAAACAGCTCACATGCAGAGAAGTCCGCATGTATTGATGGCAGAAATCAGGTTATGGGTTATTGTTTTTTGGAAACCTAAACTAAGGCACAGCCGTAACTTGGAACTCTGAACTGAGAAGTAAGGAATTGCTTTACTAATTGAATTAAGGGGGATTTTAGGAAGACCAGAGTGTAGCCTATCTGTAGTGGAATTTAGCCACTCACCCACAGTGCCAGGTAAGCAGGATATTGATTTAACATTACATCTCAAAGACAGCACTCTGCACAGCACAGTGTTTTTTTTTATTTTGATCTAGAAAGAAATGTCAATTACTGGTTTACAACAGAAACAGTTTTCTGTAGAGGTATTCCCAGCCTAGTACTGACCTGGCCCAGTCTTCATGCTCCGTTTCTGACAAGATCACGCTAGACTGTACTAACATTGCCATCGAGAGCCATAGTCCATTCTGCATTTCTTACTATAAACCCAAGCATAGCTTGTAAGCAGTTTAGTGTGTAATCGTCCCCTGTTCGGATGAGGAATTGTTTTTTTTTGGAGTGCTCTCCATCTTCTTTTGTCTCCATCTCTCTCCTGCAAGATCACCAGGGTTAACATCCAGCCAACCTATTGGAAAGGGATATAAATAAATGTGCTCTCTGTATGCATAATTTTAAAGCAGTAGCCAAGCTGCAGCATCAGCATAAATTGAAGATGTGTTGCTGTACTGCAGGGTTGAAATATGTTTCACATTACGCAGACTTCCAAAGGTCAAGCAGGATCTGCAGGAGAATGCCTCAGGACACGGTGGGATCTGGCCGGAATGATTTCGGGAAAGGGAACGATGAGCTAAAGCAAGCAGGATATGGCTGATGTGGCTTGCAGGCTTTACTCATCATATTCTGTATGTTGTGTCGCTATCCTGATGCCCATGGTGTGATTTAATCTTTACCCCCCCCCCACAGGTGTTCTGGCTCATCCCTCCGACACCTCCCAATCTGTCCGTGTACGAGGAGTGGGTTTTGTCGGGCAAGCAGAGTGATGTGTTCCTGGGAGACCGTGTGGATGGGTGTCAGAGGATCGAACTGAAACAAGGCTACACCTTCTTTATCCCATCAGGTGAGGAGGGGGATGGGGGGGGGGGATTTCGGAAACTGGAGCGAGGGGGGGCGAAACGGGACAGCTTCTGGCAGATCAGTGACACGTGACGGGGTCCTGGTAGATGATCCGTCAGAAATTCCCACTCTCCATCATGGTCTGCGCTATTTCTGTCCCCGTGTCCTAACCAAAAGACTTTACATCTAGGGTACCGATTCCAGATTTAATTATGCACTCCACTCTTCATCGGGAAGTCCATCATGTGGGTAGACATTCCAGCTTCATTACAAAGCCCGTGAAAGCTGCTGGTATTTTGAACTTGCAGCCTGGCAAGGTGCCTATTAAGCTTGCGTCTTGCTAGGTGGCAGTGCTGAGAATGATTTTTTTTCACCTAACCGAATTTGGTTACAGTGTAGACTTAAAAAAACAAATCCTCAGATATTCAGCAAAATCCTTGCTTTAATTTATTTTTTCAACCTGCTGCTCCCTGCACTAATAGGAAAAGTCGCCCTGCAGCTGTTAGTTGTTTGGCTGCGGATGAGCGGGCAAGGAATACGCTTTGGTGTCGTCTCGGGACCTGATGGGTCTTTACCTTGATCCTGCATGTTACTGGCTGTTCACCCCAGTGCAACAAACAGACCATGTCGACATTGGTCTGGGCTGTTTCTGTCCCAGTGTGCTAACCAGAGACTCCCATGTCTGGGGTACCGATTCCAGATTGAATTCTCTTCTCCTTGCTTTTGTGTGACACCAGCAGCTGGCTCTTTCCCCTCAGCGTGTGAAATTCAGAGTGAAACCGCTGCACAGGCTTAGTAAAATATCTGCAGCACTCCTGTGTTCTGGTACCCCATGGTAGGTGCAGAAAAGTCCCACACAGCAGCACTGATGAGGCTGACCTGCCTGCGCTTCAAACAGACTGCAACTACAGTCTGTGCTGCAGGAGTCGAGTGATGGTCATGAGAGGGTTTGATGCTTAATCTTTATTAGCAGTGTTCTGCATTTTCTGTGTTTTTGTTCTGCCACAGACTTACCTGTGATTGATTCAGTTTTCCAGTACAGTGCACTAAAAAACCTTGGAATTACAGAACCAAGCCTGAGCTGTTGTTCTATTTCTGTTTAGTCTCCTTGGTTCCTCAAGCAAGGATCACTAATCCTACAGCCTCTTTAACATATGTTGGTACCCTCCACTGAACAAGGGCTGCATGTGTATGTGGCTAAGAAAAAGTCTTTCACACAGAGTGGAGCTGTATTTTGCAGAATAATCATAACTATGATAATTTTTCATTATAAAATAAATGCCACAAATGTGGAAATTGACCTGTTTTTTTGTCAATATTTAGTTTTTTCTGAGAAGCCTGTGGCTTGTGTTTACTGCAAGGTTTGAATGGAGATTCATGGCAGCCTGTTGTCGATCTGTGTCTCCGCTGGCTCAGTCAGAAATCCAGCAGACACTGGTCTGACATGCTGCTGGGGGAGCCTCATGCCAGTTAGTCATCATGTGCCACATGGGGCATCTTCAACACTTGGACTAAATTAGAGGGTTGGAGACTTCTTTCTTTTGAATCATGGCTATTGAAACTTGAAACTTTAACTTTAGTTTGATCTCTGTGGTACAAATTTCCCATTTATTTGTATTTACAGCCTAGCCAGCCTAGAATAACTTCAGATTGGTTTTTGTTATGTTTCCTTGACGCACCGTTGAGACAAGGAGATGGAGCAGCATGCTCTGTCGGGGGTTAGATAACGTCTTTGTGGCTTTGTGAGCTGTTTCTTTTAAGTACAACGTGAACAGTACAATTTTGCTGTCACTTTTTCACAAGCAGCTAGCAAGAACAGAGTTTCCGCCACGTATGGATTTGTTTGCCTTGACGCTTGCATCCCTGTTTGTCCATTCTCATCTGCGAGCCTGTCCTGGAGAGGCATACGTGTGCTCATTACGGATAGAGACGTTGTAGATCTCAGTGCTTCGTTGGTGCCTGATTCATGCAACACAATCTGTCCTGAGATTCTGTCTTGTCTTACGCTTTTACAGAGCTTGCCTCAAATAATTGTTGTAAGTTAAGTATTTTATTTGAAGTCGGTAATAAAATGGGTCTGCAATCGTGCACTGAGCTGCTGTCCTCTGAGAGAGTACAAGTGGGCGCAGCAGGGATGTCGCCAAGGAATTTGGGGGTCAGAAAAGTAGCGACCCCCAACTAGGCCTAGCGAGGGAGACGCCATTCCCATGCGAGAAAGAGCAGAGCAAGTGATGTTCTTCGTCTTGAATTTCAAAGAGAGCAGCTCGGAGTGTGCGCCCTTCGTAAAAGCAAAAAAGGTGTCCGTGGGTGTGTGGGGGGGTACATTTTCACATTCCTGATGCACGCTTGCCACTGATCTAGAGGCTTACATGGCCAGCACCCCTGCGGGCCTCCGCCTCTCCTCGCACTGTCTCCTGCCCCGTGTCTCGTACCCCGGCAGCCTCTCTCTGCGTGCCCCTGAGGGTGCAGCGCCACCGCGCCCCAGTTCTGGGCTGCGCGTGCAGGTAAAGACTCCCCGACCCTGTCTTGAGGGCCCCATTGTGGAACAGCTGAGGCAATACTGTCAGAACGCTGGCATTTACATGGAGGTCTCCTTTCAGGATGGATCCATGCTGTGTACACACCCGAGGATACTCTGGTATTCGGTGGAAACATTCTGCATAGCTTTAACATTCCCATGCAGCTCACCATCTATGAGATTGAAAACAGAACAAAGGTAGGCCATTTTAACTTTGCTTTTGTCCTGTCCCGACAAATCAGTCATCTTCTCGTATGTATCGTGGGACTTGCCCTCTTGATGGTCATAACTGACGTATTTAGGTATGCACTAAATGAATTTATTTTAAACTGGTTTGCCAAGCGTTTGTATTGCATTCCAGTTTTTGCTACCTGGGGCTGTTCGACAGCCTGTTTGTTTAATTGATTCCTTTGCAGGATTGCTGCTGCAAAGTGGTTATACTTATTTAATTGAGCGTTATTGGAGTAGTGCTTAGGAAGTAGGCGATGGCGGTTAGCACTGGCCTAGAGCAAATTAGTAAGAAAACACTATGTATTACATTTATTGCAAATATAGGACACATTCTTGTACTGTACAACATTCCTCAATATGCTCATAGAAGGGGGATTAGATGTCATATGCAAGTGTTAATTTACTTTAATAAGTTGGTAATAATGGTAATAATGAGTCAAGGTTATTAATGAGTCAATAAGTTGGTAATAATGAGTCAAGGTTTTTATTTCTGCACATTACTTGGAATATATTGGATTATGACAATCCGTACTGGCTAGGCGAGTACTATGTCATCTCTACATGCCTATGATCCATGAAGAGCATCAGTGCTACCTGTGAATATTCCTCATTTTAGGTACTTCAGATATTCCGTATATTTGACTCATTTTTAAACATGAAAATACTATATTTTCTTTCAGCTCCAATTTTGCCTGTCTTTACCATTTTCAGTGTTCATTTCTGATGTGTGGTGATGATTAATCACATCCTTGTTCGCTTTCACAAGTAGAGCTTAAAAAAATATCCTACTCATAACTTTAGCAATGTATTGTCACTCCTTACTGGTACAGGTAGCTAAGGTATGCAAAAGAAGATGAAAGCAGGGGTAGCTAAATACAGGTAGCTGTGCCAGCAATAATGCATTCACACCCAGTTAAAATTCACTTTAATTTTTAAACTGCAGCTGCATTACAATCACTCCTGTGGCAAATTACTCGTGTACAATTTGCTTAAAACTATGCAATACAAGCCAAAAAGTCATAGAAGTGGATTTTGATGTTTCTTAGAAACTAGGCACTGATTGGCTGTTTAATGACTCTGCTAGTTGATTTTGAGCCATGGTGTGACAGAATCGTCTTTTTGAACAGGACTCAAGGTAAGTTGGCCATCCTTCCTCATCCACAGGTCCCTGGAGGTCATGTGGCCTGGCTGGAGAGGTGACAAGTCTACGGAAGCAAATGAGATTTTTTTTTCTGGGAGTATATCCCTAAAACAAGCTGAGTGAAAGTGGTCACTTACAGATTGTAGAGGTTTTCTCTGCTGCATTCAGTATTTACTCTTTGTTGTCACATACTTAACATGGTTCCAGTTCTCTGCTGAGCTTGTAAGAATGGTAAAAAGCGGCTGATTGTCTTCCCAGAGATTCAATACATTCAGAAAAGGCATTTAAAGACATTTCTTGTTTTTTCAGGTTAATTGAGCAGTTGGTAATAATGGCTAACAAATGATCACTGCTGTAAGTTGTCTCTTGAAGGTGTGCAGTTGTGAAAGGAAGCCCTCGTTGTTTGTCAAGAGCTGGATTTGATTGATACAGCATAGACGGAAGAAATACAGGTCAATTATCTAGTTGTACTGATGCAGGACAAAAATTGTCTCCTGAAAATCCGTTATTAACTGTAATAATACTTGCATGGTGCACTGCATGGAGTGTTCTGTAGCATTGACACATGTTAGAGGGGAGGTTCAGCTATTATTGAAACTGCTTGTCATTTAGCAGTGCACCAAGGTGAAAAGGGGTGATCTCCCCCAAGAAATCGCAATCCTGTCTAAAACCTTTAACTTACATTCACATTAAAAAGGCTTTGATCGTCATGCTCTGCTTTCAAGCTATGTCCAGTAGCTCCAGTGGATTTCTAAACTTTTTGTGTACCAATTGCAGCAGAGAAATTTGTTGTAAAAACAAATTCCTGTTCTGTATAATCCGTCTCCTGCAGGGCACAGATGCTTTAGCTGATTTAAAGAAGTTTGTGTTTCTGTGCAATTGTACCTTTTATTTTTTTTTTTAATGAAGTGTACATTTTTGTCTGGCAGAATTGCCCAAGTAAGTTCTGTCCCTTTTAATTTTTTAATTGTTAAAGCAGCAGAAGCTATATCCTTGAAATGATATTCCCTCCCTCCATCCCTTGTCTGGGAGCATGGAAGAACTGTCTATAATGTTCCTCTGGCTGGGGATGATAAATTGGTATCCCAAAATGTATCCCAGAATTCTTCACACGTAGGGAAGAACCTATTTCATCCACCATCCTGGGCAGCCCTTCTGTCCCAGCAGCACCACAGCAGATCAGGTGGGAAGGGAGAAACGCACCAGTGGAATTGAGGGGGATAATTTAAGGAGACCAAATCCAGAATGGATTTTTGACAGGACACCAAGGTTACCACCCATGTGCCATGCAGGTGGTGCCATGCATTAGTTTAATGAAGAAATAAACATTGACAGGTTTACTTCAGAAAGATGAAAGTGTTTTCTTTGGTGGGGCAAACTCCCTCTCTCTTGCGTATTTGAATATCGCATAAGAGCTTTCTAATACCTAATTAGGGCTCTTGGGGTGACAGAAACCGCTTTTTGTATTGTGGGCAAAATAGTGCAATGAAGGAAAACTTTAAAGCAGTGGGGAGTATTCTACTATGCATGTGAACACTTGGGGACAGCTTTCAAGCCATTTGATCTCGGTGCAAAGTTTGCTCTGTTTTTGCTGAGCCCATCTAAAAATCCAAAGCTGTCAGTGGAAAAATTCCTCTTGTGCACGTCTGTGTTGTCTCTTGCCACATACTCCTTGCAGTTACCTTCAGAAGATGAGAAACCATTTTTTTCCCTGAAACGAAAAGCTTTGAAGATCACAGTCTCATGTTTTGACAGGTGCTGATGTTATACTTGCAGTATGACAGTACAACACAATAGTAGAGAGCATCGGTGCTCTCTTAATAGCTCCTCAATGAAAATAAACTTTCCGTGGATGAGATTGCAGTCTTACGAAACTTGTTTTTTTTTCTGGAACTGCTGAAATGTTATGTATAACCACAGCATGGTTATACATGTTTTTTTTATATTTTGCCCTCCCAAAACGGGCTACTTTAATACAAAATCACCAAAGTATTGTGAAGGCCTCTGTTTGACAATCTGAGAGAAATGGTCTTCAACTCAGAGCAACCAAGAGGGAGTTCATTAGAGAAGGTGAAGATGATGTACGGCTGTAATGAGGTGAATTAAATGTGGTGGGGAGCACATTTAACATTCAAACTCTGATTCCAGCGAGGAGTTTGGGTTATTGGTATTCATTTTTTTTTCTGGCTGTGCACTGCTTGTTGTGTTTTCAAGGCTTGTGGGAATCCTTTTGTTTTAATGTGCAGGAAATTATTAAAAAGAGAAAATAGCTGAAAAAGCAATCATTTGCACTGATGGAAAATTGAGGAACTCAACTTGAATGTAAATGATGTGATATGGGAGCACTGCATGCAGATGCCTTTTTGCAGTTAATTTACCTACACTTGCACGTGCACATTATAGACATAATATTAAACAGGTACCAGCTAAATTGGTGCACCTCCTTAAGATTTGCAAAATGTTGAGGTTTATTGTCTTTAATATTCCCAGGCATGTGACTGAAAACCTTTTTGAAGGAGAGGGGGTGAAGTCGGAGTCCTGTTTGTAAGTCCAGTTTTTGCAAATCTTATTTCCTGCAGTGCTCTCGAAGTGGGGAGTTGGGGGGGGAGGGATGGAGGATGGTGGGCGATGGGGGAAATGGAGTTCCTGTGATGCACTGGAATGCGACTTGTTTTCACTCTTCAAAGGCAAATAACCCGCCTTTGTGGACTGTACTGTCAGTCGCCGCTGGCTCCTTCACGAGGTTCGCATTTAAATCCTGAAAGTAATGTAGGCGCAGCAAGCGGTACTTTTCTGGTTTGAAATGAGCATGCATGTTGCATTCTGCTGTTCTGGTTACCTTTCACGGCACATTACTCAGGAAAATAAAAGGAAGGCAGTGACTACCCCTCCCCCTCCCCTGACCTCTACTCATTACCAGTGCGAATTTATCAGGAATGTTAAAGGTGGCTCCCATTTGAAGCAGTACTGTACTATAATTGCCGCTGTGTGTTTTAGACAGCATGATATGTGTTAGTAAGATAGCACATATTCACATGTTGTGCTGCCCTGTCATCCATCCATTATTAGAAAGCCATTTCTTGTGATGAGGCTATTCCAGAGGCACAGGGCACCAGGCACCTTTAGAGCCTTAAACTGCTCTCGCCTTTGGCCAGGGTGCCAGCCTGTCACAGGGCTCCTGGGGAAGGTATGGCTTCGAAAAGCCAGTCCAACGCAGCCAGCAAGCAAACTCCACATCGGACAGAAGCATCGAGCTCTGGAGTTAGCTGTCCCCCCCCCCGGTGCTGACGAGTTTGTTGGAAAACAAAATGTGTTTCTGAAAACGCTGTGCTAGTGTGGCGCTGAATTAAAGACGGTGGACGTGAATGTCAGAGGGCAGTGTCATTCGTAGACGACTGTCTTGCATCAGTTGTAAAATTGGAAAAAAAATTTGTCGACGATTTACTCTTGCTTTTAGCTTTAAGTCATTTTAGCAAAGCAATGTTAGCACAGCTGTACTTCTGGTCACGGATCCTCGATTAAAATTGTACTCTTCCACAAAAAAATTACAAACCTGGAATTTCCTGAATACCAACAATTTTGGCTATTTTTTCAAATGTGGTTGTAGGTTTTCTTATTGTAGTCGTGTACTGTGAAAAGAATATCGCGTTAAAAGCTTTTCCGTGAAAGATCTGATAGGTTTTCTGCATGGCAAGGAATGTGTCGCATAAGTTGTAACCGCCCCTGCTTAACATTTTTTTTGTAAGGGCTTCTGTCTGGTTCAGTCACACAAGACACTTTTATAGGTTGGAATTTCCACACGTTAGTCCAGTACATTGTCACTTTGACCCTGATACTAGACATCGGCGACCAGGAGTGCCTAATGGGTAATACACATGACCCTGGGATCAGGCTGTCCAAGCATCCTGTGGTAGCAGTGTAACAGCAGCCCACTCCCTTTCGTGTGAACTGGCAGCCCTATGAGCGAGAGTCGTCACTTGTCCAGTCTGACGTTAATGTTCTTCTGAGGTCCTGTGAAGGTGGTGGTGGAAAAACTGTGCTACCCTCATCCCTTCATGCTTGTGCAAGAAGTTCCCCTGGCGGGTTGTGTTCCGAAAACCCATGTCTAAGTCGTGAGTTGTGTGGTAGGTTCCCAGGCTGGCCCACAAAAGCCTATTTCATCCACAATGCACCTGAAAGTCTCACCACGATCGTAGAATGATTAAGACCGAGCACATAACCAATCTGTTGTCCTGCTGTATGTTGCTTCGGATGCTTTATTTTCCGTTCATCCATGATTAGGATCGTTTTTGTTATCGTGCGGTGCTTTCGGTCAAAAGGCTACAAACAGGCAACTTAAGTTGCATATACAGAAGCTGTTCTGCCACAAATAGTGTCTGAGAGTGATGTCTTGTGTGCAGGCATGGATTGGCATTCGTGTGCCGGAGTTCAAATTACATGGAGTTTTGTTCCAACATGTGGATGTTGTCAGATGTTCTTAACTTGGGGAGTGTCTGTAGTGTGTGTGTCCATTGTGAATAACAATGGATGAGTCAAAATTGGGAAGGATTAAGGTTTAGTGATGCCAAATTAAAATATAAAGGATACTTTAATTTACCTCCTGGGTTAACCCTTTAAATGTATTCATCTTTGCAGCTACATATTCATGTGATTTATTGTGACCCCCTGCTGGTTGCTAGTTTGGACTGTACGATATGGTACTATCACATTAAACATCAGCTTCTCTCCTGAAGTCTCCCATTTTTTAGTCTCTATGAAGGGGGTCCCTTTTTTTAGTTACATTTATAATCAACCGTAGTTCACATTCTACAGTGCCCTCCATATTTATTCATATATTTGATAGGAGCAAAAACATTGAGTTAGTCTAAATAATGTCTTGCTTACAACAGTTATGACTACTGTTATTGTAGTAGCATTGGATGAAGCACGCCATAGTTGTCATAATTGAATTACAGAAAACATTTCCTGTTTCGGTCAGGTCTGGAGAGAGCTCTCCAGAAACTGCTGTGAAATGGTTATTGACTTATACAAGTTGAGGTATGGCTATAATGGATATCCACAAAATGACGAATTTACTTTTCACTATAGTGTCCATTATTAAGAAATTTAGGGCTACTGACAATAGTTCCTTGTAAGGAAGAGTGTGCAGTTGTATCCTGTCCACACAGGCTGTTAGAAAAGTTGCTTTGAAAACACCTGTAAATCCGAAGGCAACAGCTGGAAATCTTCAACACAAACTGCAATCTTCTAGATCCAAGGTGTCAAAATCTACTGTTCAGTGTCAACTCAAAGAATGTGGCGTTCATGGTCAGGTTGCGAGGAAGAAGCCTCTTCTGAGTCCCACAACTACATCTGAATGGCAATTGGAACCACATCTTATGGTCTGAAAACTGCCCCTTTTGGACAGGCACGTCCAAGTCACACAGCACAGAATGGTGATGTTCTTCTTGAGGCATTTAGTACATTTTTGGGTTGTTTTGTATTACTGGTCCTTGTTAAAAATGGGAGAATCATGAGCTCCACTACATACTCTACACACATCCAAGCAGCAGCAGCTGGGACATTCCAGCATGACTGTGATCCAGAGCATACATCTGAATTGACAAAGAAATCGCAAACTGTCCACAAAATAAAGGTTCTCGACAGGTCGGCTCTGAAGCTCAAACTCCAAAAAGCAGTCCACAGACAATGGATCTGAAGGACCTGGAGCGATTCTGTCTGGAGGAGTGTCAGAAACCTCACCCTCATAAACGCCAGAACCTCTTAGCACACTACAGGAGGCATCCTTTCAATATGGTCCATGTAAAAAGGAGAATTCACAGAATGTCAGTAATGGGGGGTGTGAATAAGTATGACTTTGTGTTTTCTCAGTTAAATTATGACAGATACAGTATGACTCTGCTCTGGGCATTGTTATTTGGATTACATTATTACTTTTTTTTCGGCAGAATGTATCATCCATTCTGGAAATCTTTGTTATATGATACGATGTAAATAAATCTGGAGGGCATTACGTATTAGCATTTCTCCAATTCACCTTTCTCTTTTAGTTTCAAATCAAAAACATGGATTCTTACGGTTGTTGCCGTAATATGGTATAATGTGTGCAAGAAACATTTTGACTCTTGAATCCTGTTGGGTAAACCTTGCAGAAACTGTGGAAAGTAACAGACGACCTACCATCTGTAGGTGACCACTCTTACTGTTCATTTGGAAAGTGGAAAGGTAGCTATTAAACTGTAACTATGCAGAAGTACATGGACATTAACGAAAACCATATTTATTTCAGGTTCATGCCAAATTCCGCTATCCTTTCTACTATGAGATGTGCTGGTATGTCTTGGAGAGATACGTCTACTGCTTGACTAAACGCTCTCATCTAATCAAGGGGTTCCAGAGGGAATCGATGTTAATTGGTAAGCAAAATCTGGGAATGGAAATGTTCAGTTGATGCCCCTCAAGGTGCAGATTAATATTTCTGAATTTGTATTCATGAATTATTAAAGCCAGGTGACATGTTTTAGGATGGATGAGAATTGTATGTAGTATTGTATGTCGTCAAAAGAAGCCCATTAGTTCATCATATGTTAAATGGTGTTTCTGGGCAACACTTCCTGCATCCCTTTTTGAAATACGGTGTTTTTTCTGAAGTGTGAGAGTTGTTAATTAATCTTTGAACTGTAATTAGGACCTTAGTCTTGCTTGGAGTGTTCATGGTACCTAGTTTTTTTCCTAGTTTCTGAAAATTAGAAAACGTATTGTAAATTTGTTTGGGTAATATGTTCACCTTTTATCTGTTACGTGTACAGTTAGATGCCCACTACACAGCGAGTGTACACAAACAGGGAAATAAACTTGATAATAGAAATTACTGCAGCTTCCTGAAATTACAGCACAGCAGCTCACCGAGATAGTCAGTCCAAAGGGGCTGTTTCTAGAAAAGGCTTTATAAAGACAATCTACGAATCAAATGTTGATTGCTAGAATATAAATGAAACGGATGACTTGTGTATGACTTAGGTAAGGAAGAATAATACACAATATAGTATTTAACTGGACCCGTCCAGGGGAGTTGATGTCTTGAGAGTTGAGCCTGTGATGACACTGGCTTCCCAGAATTCCATGCAACATCTGTCGCTCTTGACTGATGGCTGAGGCCAGCATCACAGCCAGCAGCTATTGGGCTGAAGCAGTGTGCTGAATGCTTAGATTTCCCAATGGGGCCACCTGGTCGCCTAATGGCCATGTTTGTGTTCCACTCCGCCCCCCTCCACAGATGAGGAGAGGAAGCTGAGTACAGAGAGCTTCTTCTCAGATTCTCAAATGGACATGGAGGAGGACTCCTGCGAGGCCCAGTCGAGGGAGGAGCGCGGCGAGGGGCAGGAGAGGAGCTCCCGCACCCTGCCGGACGAGTCCTGCTCTCCAGCCGGCACCCAGCCGGCCTCCGAAGGCAAGGACAAGAAGCCGAGAGCCGCCGCCGCCGCCCGCCACCTCAAGCACACCCTCTCCAATGACTCGGACGACAGCTCCAAATCCGCAACTGCCGCCGCCCCCCCGGACTTCCCCAAAACTCCCTCTGGATCCCCCGTGTCAGAGGCCTCCAACAAGTGGACTCACCTGACGGAGTTTGAGCTGAAGGGGCTGAAAGCTTTGGTGGAGAAGCTGGAGTCCCTCCCGGAGAACAAGAAGTGTGTCCCGGAGGGCATTGAGGATCCCCAGGCTCTTCTGGAAGATATGAAGGTGAGTGCGCGCTCCTTTCCTGCTCAGCCAGGACAAGGGGACTAGATAGACCCGCCTCATTTCAAGCTCTCTTGCGCAAGAAAGTCAGCTGGGCGTTTATATACAAGCGTGCTCATAAATCCCTATTTCCCTTTCATGTTTCTTGCATAAAATATGAGATCTCCTCGCTTTTATCATATTGGGTTAAATCAAAACTTGCACCTAACTACTAAAGGCATCTAACTTAGCACTTGGTAATAGCTTTGCCTTTGGCAGGACTGCTTGCTTTGAAAAGCCGTACAATTTCTAAAGTGATGCAGACCTTCTCTAAATGTGATCAGTACCCTTTAAAATATCTGAGTTATTGTATTCTTGTGCCCCCCAGTCTTCACCTTGTTTGCTGTTTCAAAGGCTCCAGGTATCCTTCCACCCCCTGTGAGAGTTCTTGTGTATCTCTTCTAACAGGCTCTTCTGATTGTTCTGGAGAAAAGGCACCGAATACAAAGAGCACTTGCGATTTGTATATGCCAGATCTCCAGAGACTTCTCATTCTCCTGGAATGAATCCGTCCACTTCCCTTTATTCTGGTTTTATTTGCATTTTTTAAAGAAAAGTCTAATGTAGTGCTGCAGCAGATTGTCAGTCTGTCCTTAGGTAGGTGTCAATTTAATGCTCTAAGAATTGAAGTTCCAAACGTGGGGATCTGTGGTCTGTGCAGCGCACACAATAAATACAGTACCTGCGTGGTGGATTGGGAGAGAAGCAGGCCATGTTTGTTGTGGAAGTTAGATTTCCAAATGATCATTGTGGTTAGTGAGGAATTGCTCTCTGGTAGACAACTAAACAGCAGGGGACAGCAGGGAGTTGCAGCTCGATTGCTCAATGCAGAGAGGGAATTCATTTGATTATTTTTTTGAAGATGACATTTATACACAAGGAATGTGGCTCTAATTAGAATAATCCCTGCTCCTATTGATAATAACTTTAATTACAAAGAACTGCAACACTGTCCCATAGGACATATGTAGTTTTACAGTGACTAATGAAGCAGAGACCTCTGTTTGTAAGTGCAAAATTTATTCATTTGCACATTTTGCTGTGGCTGTTTCCATAATTGCACATTTCTTGAAGCTGTCCTTTTAAAAAAAGAGATAAATCTGAGGCCTTGTTCTAAATTCATTTCAAGGGGTATTATTAGACACATATTCTTGTTTATGTCGCATGGGAAGGAGAAGCGCATACAAAATCAATCTGGTTTATTCAGCTGAGTTATTCTTGCACATTAAACAGCAAGACCAACTTATTTCTGGCGATTACTCCCATCGTAAAGGCATACAAGGTAGTGTTATTATAATCAATGAAAATACATCACTTTGGATAGGCCTGGCTGTCTTTGTTAGAGGACAGTCAGCAGCAGATCTTTGCCATATAACCTAGAAGGTTGTGCAGGCATCTGTACTGAGGCATGGATGTAACTGATTAGGGCAGGCACTGTAGATAGAAGAATGCTGTACAGTAACTCTCGGGTGATACTGATTAGGTGCCTAGCAGTGTTTCATGTGGGAGTTTGCAGTTTTGTTTGTAGTGACTGAGTGATCGTAAGCCCTGTCGTCTTCAGTGAAAATAATTACATCAGCCACAAATCCAACTTTACCCGAGGGATTATTTCAAAAGCATTCTTTAAAACGATCATCAGTCTCCTTGCATTTTGACAGCCGACCGCTCTCTCTTTTGCTGCTGGTAGGGAACCTGCAGCCGCTGAATTTGTTGGTGGCTAACACGCTGCGGGTCTTTTTCTGACAGGTTGTTCTAAAGGAGCACGCTGATGACGACCCCAAGCTGGCCATTACTGGAGTACCTGTGGTTTGCTGGCCCAAGAAGTCTGTCAAGGTACTGTAAGGCTGGGCTTGTGTGGAGCGAGTCGCCGAACTCGAATGTTGCTCTCGGTTTTTAGCCGCTGTTCAGTCATTACGAGATTCAATACTCGGCCAGAGTCCTGGTGTGTCCTGTGTTTTGGCAACCTGTGGCTGCCAGGTTACCAAAACCACCTGACAATTACAGGTACACTTAATTGTAACCTGTGTAGCATAGGTTACCTTTCAAGTAAAGATGTCCTGACTGCCCCAGGCATTGATGTGCCCAGTAAGAAGGGGAGAAAGATGAACAAGTTCCTCGTAAGTGGTCGTCTCGCTTACATCGCGAGTGAGAAGACGTTTTTCTGTTTCGGCTCCATTCTCCTGGTTGCCTCCCCTCTCTTCCATCTGCTGAGGAGACGCATGCATGCGGTTCATCACGCCTTGCTCTGGTTTCAGTTAGTTCTGTCTTTCCCCGTCTGCACTGTACTGCACGCTGGGGCGGTGCTGTTTTCTCTCAAGCCTCAAAATTGTGGGTTTATTCCTTGGCTTCCCTTCCCAGTCCTCCTGGTGCTGTGCGTGGATTTGTAGTTCTGACTTTCATCTTTCAAGTGCAATAACATTTTTAAAAATGAACATAGGAGCAGCGCCTCCTCTCCTCTGTGATCATTTTAATGTATAATGAGAGTGAGGCTATGATCAGAATGTGAATGGGCTGCAGTTCTATAATCCTGGGTAGAGGGTCTCTATTCTAGTCATTTTATAATGCTTTGTTCTGCTGTCCATCTTAATAACTTGTGATTTAGGCTGTTATAAATGAGGGGGAGTGAGAAAGCTATTGACTTCTCTGTATTGTTCCATTTGTGGCTCCAGTATTGCGTTATTTATTGGGGAGGAAGAAAGAGAGCCTGTTTTATGCTGGGGATGACTCCTGTGATGGAGTGAATATGATTTAAAGGGGATTATAAATAGTATAATTGATATTATCATTATTGCAGTTGAAGTTGGCTATTGAATTGTATATATATGTGAAGATATAACCCAGCTCTTTGTGACAATAATTTGCTCTTTCTGTATTGAAAGTCATTCCAAAAGGAGAGCAGAAACAAACCATGAAAAACCTCATAGTGCCTAAAGCAGTTTATTACCAGTGTTGCTGTTATTTTGTTCATATCTCTAGAGCTCAGGTTAAAGACGTTAAGGTAAATTAAGGTTCTGAGGCAGCGAAATTCCCAATGTGTGGCAGCTGCCATTTTTACACAGGCCAACAAGTGTAACAGCACTTTACAATTTTAAAAAATACTCTAAAATTATACACAATGCAACAAGTGTAACAGCAATTTGAAATTTAACCAATATTCTTTCCAGTTTTTATTTTTTAAATGGGGTGTTTTAAAGGTTCCATTGAGAATAATTGAACTCCATGTTATTACCCATATCTAGTATTAGTCCACATATGGTATTTGTAGACAACGGGGAAAATGTGGTGATTTGTCTCAAAGTTCAAATAAGTCATCATTTAGGGAGTTTCATCAAAGGTTAAATTAAATACCAGCATTTGTGCATAATCTGACAGTAAAAAAAATGTTAAGCAATGAATCTTTACTCTGAATAACAGGAATGACACTTGTATCATGGATAACTATTGCTCTCTGTATGCTGGTATATTGGTCTCGTAATTCAGATTCATGGACAATTACTGCTGCTGTTATGATTCTGTGATCTATTATTCTGTTTTCTCTAGCACTGCACTAAGATTGTTCAAGAGCCTGACATTTTTCATGTCAGTTAACATTACAGGGATAAACGGGAAAGTAAGGCAGGTTTTGAGAAGTCAGTGAAGGTTTGTTCACTTTCAGTGTTCTTGTGATTTAAATTCTTGGCTGGTTTGCTGCATAATTCTCTGGTGCAGTCATGGTGGCTCTCAGAGTGGATACTCATGTTTTCTGTTTTGTACTTCGGAGCCCACTTTTAAAGTTTTAGTCCATGTTTTCTCCAAAAGTTTAAGAGGGGGTGTGTTAGAGGGGTAGTTAATTAAATTAATGTGCCTCCAGACTTTGATCACGACAGCGCCTTGTCAACATGGGGGATAGTAGCAGAATTAACATTCATTTGTAAAATATTTGGTTTGTTGTTGTTTTAAGGTTGAGGGATGGCATGTGCATACTGATAATATCTAGTCCAATGCAGAGAATATTCTTGCATCTGGTTTTAGTTTCTTATGACCAGAGAATTTGAGGATTTTGTCCATAGAACAGTAGTTTAACCCTTTCCTGCAGCTTAAAAACACTGGGTTGTCTGTTAATCTCCCAAGTCAACTTCTGGCACAGAGGCACTGTGTGCAGCACGTTCTAACTTATTCAGTTATGATTCTGATATTAAAATAAAAATGAACAAACATGCGAAAAGAGGAAGATATAAGATATCTTAGGTGTAATGTCTCTATTGCAAAGGCGCGATTTGGCAGAATCCATTTTCTTTGCCTTCAAAACTGATTAGCTCACATTTTCTGTTAGAAATGCATTTATGATTTTGTTTCCACCTGTTACTAAGTAAGTAAAGATGATTTTTAGATCACAGTCACGTTCATTGAATATCATAAAAGAATCAAGGGCTGATTTAGTGTGCATGACGGTATGAGATTGAATTACGGGCTAAAAGATCTTTCAGTTCAAATTGCAGTTGACAAGAAAGGGCACAGCATAAAGGACAGGCAGCGGCTGGCATTTTGAGCCAAATATAATTCTATTATTTCTTTATCAGACTGTCATTGGTATCCAGAGCAGCATTGCTGAACAAAACGAGTATGAAAGAATGCAACATGCATAAGTGTTACAATTAACAAAAACTGTGGCCTTTGTAGAACTATAATAACAGATACAATACAAATACTAGCGTGCATATTCTCAGTATGGCTAGAAACTATATACAAATACTGTATCTTGCTTGTGCATGAAATAAAATAATGGCTGCATATGATTAGATAAAATGCTTTTATCGAGTCTTGCTATATGGTTTTTGTGTTTGATGCACTTGAATGTTTTTAGATGAATGTCGGCAGTATGTGTGATGTGTACATCACTGTGTGTTCAAGGTAAATATGTATTTATATATAGTCATTTACAATACATGTGATCTGTAATTTGTTGAAAACCTTTTTCAGTAACTAATAGATTGACTGCAAATTGTTTTTTTTCTGGAAATCCCAGGTGTGAATGGCTATTTGCATAAACAGATTTTGTTCTAGCTTCTTAGTGTCAAATAGCCTGATCATTTTCTAGTTGCCTCTTTTTACTGTTTGATATTAAATAAAATGGTCAGGCCTAAGAAATGTGTATATCAGCTGGTTATAATGGTTAAGCATGCTGTGATTACTGGGATATGCAACACTTCATAATATCACTAAATGCCTGCAATGTACACAAACCCCTCCACCTTAATTAAAATTAAGATTTTGATCTTAATAAAAGTAATGGGGAATGTGGGTTTTTTCAAATTGTGTCCAGTTACATTTAATCTTTATCATGTCATTTAGCAACGATAACTGCTCTGCTTGAGCTGACTTAAAAGAAGACATCTACAGCAGCAGGAATAAAAAGATCATTTTAAATAGATATGTGTGCAGTGGTGTGTCAACAAAGACAAGCACGCCTCCTTCGAACAGGTTTAATTAACGACACGATGTCATCACTGTTGGGGGGCTGCCGGTGCATGGCACTGCCAGTCACTCCCTGGACAAAGCCAGATTGCAACTTCATAATTGTTATTGCAGCTAAAGGTGGAATGAGCTCTAAATCAAAAGAGAGATCAAAAGCCCTGTTGGGGATAAAGGAAAAAAATGCCAAATTTAAAAACCTGAATCAGATTCTGTCCGTCTTCTGACCGCTTCATCCAGGACAGTTTAGCAGGGGAGCTGGAGCCCATCCTGGCAAGCAGCTGGCACAGGGTGGGGTGCACCCTGAACAGGATTGCCAGTCCATCACAGGGCACACACAGACACTCACACTGGCGCCGGTTTTCGCAGAAGACAACGAACCCATCGGTCCAGTCTTTTGGACTATGGGGGGAAGCTGGTGCACCTGGAGGAGTCTCATGCCGATGTGGGTAGAACATACAGACTCCACACAGACAGTACTCCAGGATCGGAATTGAACCCGGGGCCCCAGCACTGCGAGGCAGCACTGTGCCACGCCCCCCCCCCTCCCCCCCGTAACAGATTGTCTTTTGTATTCCATCACTTTCTTTTCATTGCCGTTGCTGTAAAATTACTGATCACTTAAGAAATGTGTTTTTTTTTTTGTTCCTGTCAGTGCAGCATGGCGTATATTAGCCCGTCACTCATGGTGCTGGCGTTGATTTTAGGTGGGAGCGTCCACAGTGTAAGATCCCCATGGCTTTGGGTTGAGAGTGGTGGCGCCGATCTAACTGTAACAGCCGGGGGTACCAGTCCCGTGGCACGGTTAGTAGCTGCCCATACCATTTGGCGTGGATCACAAACATGAAGCTGGCCAAAGAGAGCTGTTTTCCCTTCTGTTTGGCCCTTGAGTTTGAAAGGCAGTTATTCCACTAATGCAAATTCAAAGGCTTAACATGTGTGGCTAACTATTTACATTTACATTTATTTTTATTGGCTAACGTTTATATCCAAAGCAACATGCATGTGTACCCATTTATACAGCTGGGTATTTTGCTGGAACGATTTGGGTGAAGCGCTTAGCTCATGGGCAAGACAGCAGAGTCTCACCTGGGATTCGAACCCAGGTAGTTCAGAGTCTTCTAGTTTTGAGTCCAGATCCCTAACCAATGGAGCCTTACTACTACACCATACTACTGACCACAGATGTGCTATTTTCCCATTTCTATTCTGGGTGCTCAGCTTATTCCCACTATATCATATTCAGTGTATGTGTGGGTTCTGATTGCTTTAATTTGTGTCCCGAGAGTTGAAGGAATCAAATCTACAGTGTGTTTCACTGAGACTTGGCAATGAATTTGGAAATTGAGGGTGTATCCTAAAGATGTCCTCTTATTTCAGTG